TCATGTGTTCCTTCCATCACTGTGCACAGCACGTGACAAGTGTGAGTTCGCCTGTTCCGTGGAAAACAGAACTATAAACGTGGAACCAGCTGTGGTGGCGTATAGCGGTCGGGCCCCGGCCGATCGCTAGAAGGTGGCGGTCTGTCCGCCATTGAAGGGGGAATTGGAGGCCAGGCAAAAACAGAAACCTCGGCAGGCACAAGACTTGGACTGGAGTCGTTTTTTTGCCCCGTCATTAATGAAAACTGCTTGGACAATATGTGTTATATGCTACAGGATATTCTCAGAGGAGCCATCACCACGTATATCAACCCAGCTGTCTAGCAGCAGTCCTCCGGAATAAAAACTCGGAAGCCCGTTCAAGCCCGCCAAACTTCTTCAGTCCCGACTTAAGTCAAACCATGTGTTCACGTTAACGACTTACACAGGATTACAGTGACTTGACTTGTTTTGCCATTAATTGGCTAGACACCTGTCACCCTAATTTATTTTCAGTATGTTTAACTGAAAATACAAATACCCAAAATGACTTATGTAGCTGTGTTTTTAATGTATTTTTTTTTCAAAAATTTTTGACTAAAATTGACTCAAGCTCGGTACTTGACTCTATTCGACTCGACCACACAAAGTGAATCGACTCGAGTCAACAAATTTAGTGACTCGTTGCAACACTATCGGCAAAAACTGGGTCCCTAAAGCTAAAATCCTTTTCAGAGGGTCTGATGAACTTCTACATTTAAGCTTAATGATGTCAATCACCTATTTGCTGATGGATCTCCCCCTCCAAAAAGCACATCACCTTAGGGGCCTACGTCTTACGTCTGGTTGAGTTCATATGGACCGACCCGGCAAGAACTTACGTAACAAATCTCCTGTCATTCTCTTAAACCACAGAGCTATAAATCTATGGTTAAACGATGCCGCTTCAATCGTGCAAAATGGTGGAGTGGTGGAACGAATAATCATGTCGCACTATGAGCCATGTATACGGATGACGTGTATCGTACCGAGTACTGGTACCTCGGTCATTGTGTTAGTCATGGTTATGGTCTTTTGACTGTTGACTGATTTTAGCCAATTTACAGATCAAAGGTACAGCTGCTGGTTGTGCAGGGTGATACTCTTAAAGAGTGTGAAGTTGCAGTATCCCCAGCTGCAAAAATCGGAGAGCTCCTGAAATTTCGCCAGTCAAGAACTAAAATGCGTTTTGTTTTCCAGAAGTGAGCAACGATGGTTTACAAGTACACGGTTCGACACGGTAAGCCGGAAGACTCCGGAACTATCCTTGAGTTCTTGAAAGAACACTCCAAGATCGAGGACTTCACTGCCGTTGCTCTCAAACACGCGGAGGAAGGTAAGCCAAGTGTAAAATTAAAATGGGAACAGTCGGGCAATGTGCCCCACGGTTTCGGAGGTCAGTTAGTCAGTCAGTCAGTTTCACATGAGTGTGACCAGCTATTTCAATAATGGCAAAAACGTGTTGGGGAAGGTAGATAAACATTGTATTAATGGAAATCACTTGATGTTTAGCCAAGGCTTATTGAATCGATCTTGCAGGAATTTTCGTGGATGTTTTAATGACAGTTTTACACCATGACAGTTTGTGCACATTGACAAAGGACAACTTAGGTTACGGGTGGTAGATTAGTTTTCAAGACCAAAGATTTCTGCTCTGGCAATTGAACCGGATTTTCATGGAAAGCTCATCCCAGGATGTTTCTTAGGATCTGTACACAGACATATTATCCCCAGTGTGTTGAAAGCACCGTGCTTTGTTGGTTCACGATAAATCCAGGGAAATGATATATTAGTAAGGGAATAAATAATTACGTTCTATTCTCGTTCATAAAAACCTTTTCAGTCAGAATGTCAAAAGAAGTCAATAGTTGATGTATTTCCAGCGATTCTGTTCGAAAAGTTTACTTTTATTTCCCGAACAACCCCGCCCATTTTATACAATATTCCTTGAGCAAGTTATTCAATTGGCGCGCGTGTGGCGACCCGCATGCCCACAGACTCTTGACCAATCAGAATCGATCAAACTTTCTTGTATCGATGAAGGCGCCAGCGCGTGATTTACGCAGTGTGCATTATCACTTCTCAGCAGGCATTATCAAATTTTAATACACGGTCAAGTTGCACGTCTGAGATGTTTATGAATTATGTATTAGGGGATCAATATGTTCATGGAATGTGTGTAGGTACTACAAGTAGGTTTAACGATAGACTCCGAATACAAAGAGCAGTGTACTTGTCGCCTGGGGATGTGTGATGTTGTCTGTATGAAAAGGCACAGATGACAGGTAAAAAAATATAACGGAATAGTCAAAAAAGCAATACATGGTTTTCTTCTAGGCTTTTTGCATTAAGAGCATTGGTTGCGTGACAACCCACTAGAAACCAGAGTACGTTGTGACCTATGAGGCGTTCTCAATAGGTATAACCAGTGATGTAAATTTGTGACGAAAATTGGGGGATGGGATTGGCAATGGGGAGGGGGTCACTAGTTTGGCCATGGAAATTTGACAAGCCTAGGATGACATTATATGACACTTTATAGTGCGATGTTCATGATACAGATGTACATGTACATCTATATAATATGTATACACATTCCGCACTATTAGTTGCCTGCAGCCCGGCTAACATTGTTGGACGCGAAGAACTTAAAGGAGGCTCCATCACACCGTCAATTTTCCTATCAGTCGAATTCCTCAATAATAAATGGCCACGAACAAAATCATTCTGACTGAATAATTGTCCAACCATATTTAGAATAATATGCATGGCATAACTATAGGGCTGCGCTCATTATCATATGTGCAACTTCTGTTTTGATTTCGAAAAATTTCTTAAAGTACATTTCATGGTGTTTTAGGCAACCTTTATAGACAGCTCAATTCACACACGTATGACCATTTTTTTGGATTAGTAACCTTTTTATTTACTGTAATAACGTTTTGTTTCTGTATTAAAGAATTTGGTACCTCTAGTTATTTGACATTATTTGATATGAACAGATGTTGAATATTTCACATCAGTTGGGTCTATGCACGCAACCCTGTTTCAAGACATATTTTGTAAACCCACCCGTAGACTGTTAAAACGGTATATTCAAATTGAAGTCACTTCCTTACTCACTTTCACCAAATTTCACAAATTTCTGGTATTGAACCTAGTTCACTTTGTTAGGAAGAAAGGTAAGTAGGAAGGAAGAAAACTCTAATGTGAATGAAGAAAAAGGAAAAACTATTTTCCTGCTCAGCCAAGCACCGCGGGAGCACGATGCCGTGCCTGACGGCAACGTGCACCTGCGCAACTTTCTGTCCACCTCATTTCTTGTGCAGACTTGAGGAGCCACAGCTTTGGAGACGAGGCTCCCTTCCATTTCTTGGTGTTAGAGACAACAGGTGATGGCCCAGGCGAGACAGCAGGGCCAGAGGTCGTTGGTTGTATTGGTTACTTCCTCGCCTACTGCTCCCTAAAAGGACGGATGCTTTTTTTGGATGAGCTTTTCGTTCAAGCCGCCCACAGAGGTAAGGCCAAACATTTGAAACTAAAAGAGCCGATCTTTTTCTCGCCATCTTACAGCCGGAACTCCTTTCTCATTCTCTGTCCAGAACTTGGCTTTCCTTTGCTCATTTTTTTTAATTTGCATACACTTACATATGTAAAGACACTGGTTCTTTTAGGGAAAGCTGTCAGGTTTCAGTTCGATCCAACACAGAATTTTTATAGTGATAAGTTGTATATTTTTTTGTAGGACAACATATTTTGGCGGCTGTGTAGTACTGGTGCATTGGGAGAAAACCAAATGTTATTCAGTTATCAGTGCCTATGGACACTAAAGGCTCTGTAATATTTCGTATATCCTAGCCATTACTTTCAAGTGCAAGTATATAATGCGACAAAAATTGTTTCAAGTGATTAATTGGACAGTGATTGTTTTGTTCCCACAGGAAAAAGTCTTGGAAGGATGCTACTGGGGAAAGCTGCCGAGGTGAGTGATGATGTGTAATTAATATTTTGAGTACAATCATATACGGTACACGTGCACATAAATATCAGACTACTTAGAAACATACTCTCACCGTCAGGTTATTTTTGGAGGTATTTCCTTTTTAATACCGTAATGTGTTGCACCAAAATGACAGTTGGACTTTTAAGATTTTTCTACTGGTATGTTTGTGTTTGAAGGTTTATTTTTGGTTGGACTTTTAAGATTTTTCTACTGGTATGTTTGTGTTTGAAGGTTTATTGCGTTTCGACAGGTTTTAGTCAGCTTTTTGTCATGCAAACTAAACCCTAAAAGAACCAGATTTTTCTTAAACATAACTCTGCTACATGTTGGGAGATCCTCTCTCCCAAGAAGTCAACGGTCTCAATCCCAGTCTATTTCAAACTAGGCATGGATTTAAGGCCAAGCTTGTAATTTATGTCTTCCTGCGTGTCAATTAACATGTACTGGGCACATTGGGAATGAAGTGCATGATTGGCTCACTGGTCATGATTTTTTTGGCACTTGTATGTCGGTATGCCTGATTTTTCACAAAATTAGAGTCAAGGAATACCAAGACATTGCTGGTAAAGCTTTTGGAAAACCTGACAATTTGGCGAGGCTCTTTTAGGTTGTAAGACCCAATTTGTTGTAATGTGTATTTGACAGCTTTATTGATCTTGGATTACAACCATCAGGTTGCTATTAAAAACCATTGCAAGGGCATGAACTGGCTGCTAGGGGGAGCTAACAAGAACGCCGCGGAGTTTTACGGCCACCTCAACTGTCCCAATATGACCAAACAGCACGGGCAGAGATTCGTACGCATCCCGAGAGATAGTTTTGAACAGCTGGCGGACACGATGCCCAAAACAGGGTCAAATATCCAGTTTCTTTAGAGTCAAGTGAGAGAAATGGTAATGCAGGTTGGCATATTTAATACTGTGATGGAATGTGAGTAATTATGCACGACCATTAGAAGAGTAAAATTGAAATAATCATTCCATATACTTAGTACTTTGATGTGAACAAACACTACCAAATGCAAACAATATGCACAATAGAATGCTCCAATGCATAGTTTCAACTGTTCATATTAATGCACGTGATTACCATGTCCTACATGTTCCAACACTTTATCTCTTCGGTGTCAACACTTGAATAACATTAGGACAACGGGTTCTTTATAGCAACATAATGTCCGGTCGCATGAACCTTTATCTGCCAATTTTGTAAAGATCTTGGGTGTTTTATTATTGATTTAGATTTAGCTTAAATTGTGGAAAATCTGTGGGAAAGGCGTGATTAAAACAAATACCGACTGCTTCATCTCTCGGTATAGTAAATCTAGTCTCCCTAGAGTGATCCCATGAAGCGCTTTAATTTCCCTCGGCTTGATTATCACCAGTGCTGCTCTCTTTTTTTACATGTTTTTAAATAAGACATCTCTTTCATTTACTGCATATAACAAGTTTTGAAATGTAAAATTCTCTCATTTGAGGGACGACAATACTTTTCTGTTTATTTTCCGGCATTTGAACCTTCGCTGAGCCAACTCAAAATCTTTGGTTCTCGTTCGGTCGGAACAATGGTTTCATATAAAGGCATATCCAAATCGCAAAACGCTTTACCAATGACCAATTTCATGGTTTGGGTAGCCAAAACAAACCCTAGCTGAACATCCAGGGTGCCACTTTTGCCTTGACAAAAGGCTAAAACGGAGATGAGAGGGGGCGGCATTTATCCGTCTGACTGAAAGGACATAGATATATTGGCTTGTATTTTATTTTGCATTGATAGGGGAATGTTCAAAGGGAATTTTACTGGGATTTTATAAGGAACAATATCTACCGAGACTTGGTCATTGCAGTGGTATGAGCAAGGCAGTGTCACCTATTTAGATTGGTTAAAAGAGTCAGTGAAGGCCGCTGACGAAATTTCGAGAACAAAATATGAAGATTACATTGACGGGGTAAGGGTAAAGATCAATCCAGGCAGACGGCCAATTTGGAGACCCTTTAAGCACTCAAGCAAAAGCTACTCGTGTCAAGAAGATGATGATACCGGAATATTTAAGAAGACCTTAAAGACAAAGTTAATAAAGGTATGGCAAAATGAAAGATGAATTTGGGGGTAAGGTCATTTCGGAAGTCTTTTGTATACATCCAAACATGTATTCGATTCTAACGGAAGATCAAAATTTGGCCCGTTTAATAAATAATATAAAGTGGGGCCCCTCTTTACCCGCCTGCCAGCGACTTGTTTAAATTGACTGGTGCGTTTTTCAATTTGATAAACGTCAACGGACCAGACTGGATCGGTTGCTCTTCTGACGGTGCCACCGTCTTGCTCGCCAGGTTGATATGAATACCGAACAACCACGCTTGGAGGTAATTCTTGCTTGCTCGCTCTTGGAGGTGCACTCGGTGCTTGTTTCACTCGGTCTAATTTGATAGCTTCTGTGGGCTCTTTGTGAATTGAACGCGTTTTTTCCTCGTTTAACGATTTCACGACTTTGGGCAAACGTTCTACCCATTCTACGTTTCACTCACCCACGTTTAACATTTCTTGAGCATATTGATGGCCGAATAACCTTTCAGCTAAAGTTCGATCAAACCTTTCCACGATCCCCTGTGACCTATGAACGCCCGGCTCGCCCACTTACATTTTTTACTTTATTTTTCGTCATTAACTTTTTAAATTCGCTTTTAAATTCTGATCCAGAGTCTACCATTACAATTTTAGGCCAGGTTAGCGGCGATCTTTTATAAATTTGTTTCACGGCTTCAGACGTTTGCTCGGCCGTTTAACTGGTCAACGGGGCTGCCTCTTTATAACGCAAGCTGACGTCTACTGCGGTCAAAGTGTATTTAAAAGTTTTACGATTCACTCGACCCCAAGGCAAGTATAATATATCCATTTGATGTGCTTCGTTTGGGGTCACAAATTCCGATTGCAACGTCATAGGCCGTGGTACGCACTTTGGCGCGGGTAAATATATTTGTCAAATGGCTCGCGGTTTTAGCCAGTTTCTAATAACTGATTTGTCTGCATTGGTCTTTTCGTGTAAATGATCGACCGCGCTTTCACTTCGCCAATAGCCTTGTGGGCTGTAAACTAATTTTGAAAATTCTCGCTCCACTTTAAAATACTAAAATACTATTTATTTAAGTTAAGCGAATCTACTACTACTAAAAGAACCGACTAAAGCCGTCCCAGATATAATCCATATAAATCCATATAAATTCGCAAATTGTTTGATCTTCGGAAGGTACGTAGAAATCTGAAAACTTCGCCTCTGGCGGTAACGGCATTATATTTTACCGGTTAATTCGCTGTAAGCTCGTAACGCTTCATGCACGTTTAAAAAACGTTTGCTGGCTCGCGCATTCTTGTCGGTTTCGCTCGTTTAAAAAATGTAACATATGAAGGCGATTTTGCTCCCAAGATTCTTTCGCTTGCACCAATTGGTCTAGGGCTAAATTGTGACGTTTTCGTTCCTCGTCGACTTTACTTTTTGATAAACTGCTCAATAAAAAATCTGAGCTTTTAAATGCCAAAGTGTTCACTATCGCTCCTCCAACCATCATTAAAGCATCCGCTTTAATAATTTAAAAATATCAATAGCAGAATTAAAAATCAACTTTCAGAAATTCAGGCCGATCAAACAGATATCGAGCAAATGCTGGGCAACATGCGCGCAGATATCGATCACATTGGTGACATGGTCTTAAAGATTCAAAGTGAAACGTTTAGAAAGCAAAATAAATTAATGGAATATGAAGATCTATTTTTTTGCAGCTGGCATATCCTTTATTGCGTTATCATTCCTGTTTAAAATTTTTACGTAAAATATAAATCGTATATATTAAGAAAATGTCGAATCAATCACCCATAACCCGAGTACAATAGCTGCGGGTCTCACGTTAACCGTAAATTCCCAGCGTTAGGAATCGACGACGTAATCGTCCTGGGTACCGCGAAACTGGCTTTTAAATTAGATCTAGATGGAGCATCAGACGATAACAGAACCGTGTATAACAACGTGGCGCGAAATTTGATCTCGGAAATCAACGTCAGCTTAAAAGGCAATAAAATCGTCAGTTACCGAGACGCGGACGCATTTCATAATTTTAAGGACAACTGGTTACCTCTGTCGTAGACGAAAAATATGGCGTGTTTCGGATTAGAACGAGAAAACGTGACAAGTTACGTTTGAACGCGGGCGATAAAAACGAAGCTGTGACTAACGGTAAAGATAAAGCGATTGCAGACGCATTTAAAAATCGATACGCGATACCATTAGACGGGTTTAAAAGAGCCTCTGCCGTATCAGTTGACTTTTAACCGTCAACGACAAAGTGGTTAACTCGTCAGACACGGCTGCGGAATATGCAATTTCGGATTTGACATTGGAATATGAAGTCGTCACCAATCGAGATTTGGCACAGGCCCTGCGGACCAAGCACAAGGGACTTGTATATTATTTATTTGACAGGATACACTCGTGGAAGAAACATGCGGTCAATTAGTCAGATACGTTATGGAATATTAATATCGATCAAGAGCTTGAAAGGCTCAGCGATTTTATTACCCGCAGATCACAAAGACGGTAGTAAGGGTTGAAGGTAAGCCAAATCAATTGTATTCACAGGGACTTTTTGAATATCAGCACTGGCCAGAAATGAACTAGTATTTCGGAGATTGGAATACTGAGTTGGCTTGAAAGTGGTGTTGAAAGATCTAAATTTAACCGGGGTTGATATGGCTGAATATCTAAAAGATAAATACGGTCTGTGGCTCGATTTCCAGAGTCCCGATGATAACTCAGCGCACGGGTCGGGTAGACCTCTAAGAGGCGGGGGCGATATTTCGATTCAAATGGAACGCGAGGAAGAGTCGGCGGGTGCGTTAATGATGTACGTTGTTTTTGGTGATGGACGCCCAATTGACAGTGGAAGATGGGAATTTTAAGAGCTGTGTGTAATAAATTGGAATCTATTAGAGACTGAATACCGCCACACATTTGAGGCGATCGTGATCATATGTTCCACGTTATTTAAGAATAAAACGTATTTAGATCGTTTATGGATTTATATCGATGAAAACGTATTATTTATGCGATCTAGATCGTGAAAAGTTGGAGTTAAACGAGGTGATTGACTTATATCAGAAAATTTTTGATGGATAAAGTACGCTTTTTATTATCGACGATTGTGCCTCGGTACAAATTATTAAATATCGGAAAGATAAAAAATAGCAACACGTGTGCATTAAGTAAGATGGCGTTTAGTGGGAGTCATTATTCGCATTCGTGCTGGCTTCTTACACAAAAAATATAATGCCGTTTTAAAAGACTACAGAAGCAATACGGCATGGGTTGCAATTTTGTATTTTAAAGATAAATCGTTATTCGATCAAATTTTAAGTGAGAACGACGTGGTACCATATGAAGAAGGTGATAGATTGAAGAAGTATTTACGAAATTTTAAATTTAGTAAGTTAGTCGTTAATACTCGACCACCCGTCTCGTGGTTTTTGGCGTGAACAAAATTTATAAACTATTTTTAAAAATTGGCAAGAAGGAGATACCAATGTATTGAATGTGATGGCACTTCAATATGTCCTCATAAAAAACAGAGATTAGCATGCAAGATTTGTAGCAACGCAATTCAAATTACTATTAGACGCTGGTTAAGTCATTGCAAGTATTACGATTAAAAATATAATTTATTTAACCCTCAAAAATTTATTGATAGAGAATTTCTAGAAGAATTAATCGGCGATCATGAATTTTGTTATTACAACGACTTTAGCGTGAAATTACAATATATCGAGGAGCGAGACGACCAAGCAACCATCGAAAGATTACACACGGACTTTGGGCACGTGAAATGGAATTGCACTCTCGCTTGCCGAAGGTGCAACTTAATTAAAAAATGTCATATGGTACCCGAGTCGACCGATTTGTAAGCTAATGTAACTTATGTATTTGCTTTAAAATGCTACAGTCGGGCTGTGTAAGCTCGACAGTAGCTTTTTTATTTTTGTTATAAGTAAATGATAGCAATGTTGCAATTAATTCAAGTAGTTACCGAGCTAGTAATTGCGATTAACTTGACCTACCTCACAATTGAATACCTACAACTTAAACACACCTTTAACAATTCTAAAACCCATATATTAAAATGGACCTCAGGTGAATCTAAAAAATACCTGGGTAAAGAATATTCCGTAAAGGAAATTGAACCACTTGCGCCGGCAGATCAAGAGAAATTATTTAATTTATACGAAGCACTCTTTGGAAAAGAAATCGTAAACGCCCATGGTAACGCAATTCTAAGCTTATACGTGCGTTTACTCGGAATTGCCACTCCCGTCGATTTCCTCGGTTTCAAACTTGAATTCTGAAGAAGCGTTAACTAAAGATCTACGGCGGGGTTGATTTTGAGGAATTTTTGAGGAATATCCTCTGTTGAATCTAGATAACGAAGAAACAAATCAAAATGATTTAGATTGGGACTATAATGAAACGTCGTTGCTAGAAGACTTTGATCCTACACATCCTATTACCGTTGGGCCAGACAAAGAAGATATACATAGCAGTTTAGAAATCGAAAAGCGATACAATGAATTAAAGACGTAACGGAACTGCAAAGACAAGTCAACTTAATGAGGCTTAAACAATTGTTGCGCAAAAATAAAGTGAACGATTTTTACTCTGCTATTAAAAAAGAAACGGTTGCGACCCAGAAATTAAAGACCCAAACATTTTTAATTTAGATAGCAGAGACCGCCTGTACGTAAATTTCGAAGGTAAAACAGTTCTCTTAACCTGGGAAAATAATAGTAACGTATTTCTTAGCCTAAATAGAATTCGGCAAAAAACAAATACAGATTTTATAAGACGCGTCCTAGGCTTACGCGACTACGTTTCTGGCAAAACAAAACAGCAGGCGCAAGAAGTGGCTCGTAAACCGGAACAACTTCACCCCAAAAGTTTAAATTTAAGAAAACTCCCACAAGCATCAGATCTAGCGAGCGACATCGCAGAAGATCTCAAACGTTACAAACGGTAAAAGGGGAATTAATTTTAAATCAAGGTAAATTAGATCAGTAA